AACTCAATTGATGGTGGCATTCACGGCATGTGGTCCAACTCCTCCTGCTCTTGGTGCCAATCCTTGTGTTTGGCCGGAGTTCTTTTGTGGGAATCCTGGGGATGATGTGTACCATTGGTTCGATCACTTCACGGTAATTGCCACATATCATTCTTGGGATGATGCTTGACGTTTACGTGAGTTTCCCACGTGTCTCCAAGGGACGGCATTGCAGTGGTACAATGGATTGAGTGCAGCCATTCATGGATTGGAGTGTTCTTCCGGGCGTCTTCAAACGCGCCTTCGGACATGCTGATGATTGTGATGATGCCTTCCAACAATTGCATCGTCTTCGCCAAGGGCCATTTGAGTCGGTGATGCAATTTGGCATTCGTTTCCGAAGTCTTTTGCTTTGTGCGGAGCCCAATATGTCGGAGTGGATCAAGCTAGGAATGTTGTGGCTAGCACTTCGTCAAGATCTTGTCGGCCTTGTGCATGCACTTGCTCCTGCCACCCTTGACGATGCTCTTCACTTGGCACAACATTATGAGATGTCGCCTCTTCCACTTCTCGCTGCACATCCTTTAGCTCCACTTCTTATGAGTGATAGTCCTGTTCCAATGGAGGTTGATGCTGCTGCTACTCGAGTCCAAGGACAAGGGCAAGGACATGGTCGTGGCCATGATGTTCGTTGCTGGGCATGTGATGAAGTTGGTCATACTTATCGGCGTTATCGGCGCTTTCCGGATTGGCAACCTCCATTTCTTGGGTGGAGACCTTGGCGTCAACAACGTCCCGTTGGTGCTGCTGCAGTGGAAGGTTTGGACACTAAGATGCATCCAGGAAACGAGGAGTCGTGCGAGTAACGGAGGGACCTTGCACGAATAAGTCAGTGACCCCTCCATCTTTCTTTCGGGAGTATCATCAAGGGGTTCACTCAGCATCAGTTCATCCAGTGTTTACTTTCCAAGCTCATATTTATAACAAGAGGTGTCTTATTATTCTCTCCATGTTGGTTGATATAGGTTCGAGTTTATCTCCTATTGCTCGACCTGTTGCCACATGTTGTTGTCTACACTTGCGTCGTGCAGTAGAACCAATTTTCATTCTTTATGGCAACCGCCGTACACATGCATGTGCACGGGATGAGGCAGACCTGGTTGTGCGTGTGGGCAATCTCGAGCTTGAGTTGCAGTCGTTGCAAGTGGTGCCAAGTCAAGCTTTTGACCTCATTCTTGGTATGGATTGGTTGCAGCGCAATCATGCCAAGTGTGACTTTGAGGCTTCTCCCCCTTCTCTCATACTTCATTATGTTTTATCCATTCCTCTCACTTCCGTACCTCTTCGTCCCTCTACTTCTACTTCTACTTCCATTACTTTTGTTCCCCCACTATTTCCTCCTATGTTTCCATCTTGTTCTACTCTTCCCTTTTCCGATCCCTTCGACGATCTTTGTGTTGCAGCAGTTGACCGGCTCATGAAGGAGTATTCTGATCTCTTTGACTTTGACCTATCGTCTGGAGCCAAGATTGCCACACGTCATCCGATTCCAACTGGGGATGCTCGTCCAATCAAGGTTCCTGTTCGTCATCAGTCACTAAAGGAGATCAAGATTTTACATGCAAATGTCAAGGAGATGTTGGAGAAGGGTGTTATTCAGAAATTGTGGAGTCCTTGGGCATGTGAACCTCATCTTGTGACGAAGTCTGATGGGAGTATTCATTTCTGCATCAACTATTGTCCGTTAAACGATGTAACGATCCCGGATGTGTACCCTCTTCCTCACACTGCTGATCTCTTGGATCGTCTGGGGCGAAGTCATTGGTTCACCAAGCTAGATCTTGCTTCTGGGTACTGGCAAGTACTGATGGCCGAAGAAGATATTCCTAAGACTGCTTTTTGTACACCATTTGGTTTGTATGAGTTCTTGGTGATGCCATTTGGTTTGAACAATGCTCTAGCAACTTTTCAATGGATGATGGACGAGGTTCTTTGCGATATACCAGAGGTGACTGCTGACTTCATTGATGATGTCTTGATCCACTCGGAGGGGACATGGGAGGAGCACGTTCATGATGTTTGTAAAGTGTTGGATTGGCTACGCGACGTTAGTTTAAAGCTGAAGTGGTCGAAGTGTGTGTTTGGATCCAAGGACACAACTTATCTTGAGTACCGTATTTCTGGTGAGGGTTTGCAAGTTGATCCTGACAAACTTATGGCTGTTCTAAAGTTCCCTACTCTGAAGTGTGTGAATGATGTACAGTGCTTCTTGGGCAAGGTGCAGTATCTCGGGCATTTTGTGGATCATCTTTTTGATCGCACTGCACCATTGCGAACGTTGCTGAAGTCATCAACGTCAACTTTCATTTGGTCTCCAGATTGTGAGCGGGCGTTAGGGGATCTTAAAGAGTTATTGACAACTCCTCCGATTTTGGCATATCCTGACTACACTCGACCTTTTATTTTGCGCGTAGATACTTCCGACATTGGTCTTGGAGGTGTGTTAATGCAAGAGAGCTCAAGTGTATCTGGTCAGCACCATCCCATTGCATATATAAGCTGTACATTACAACTAGCAGAGATGAACTACTCCACGATAGAAAAGGAGTGTTTAGCAACAGTCTGGGGTTTCGAGAAACTTCATGCATATCTACATGGCTCTCGGACGTTACTTGAAGGTGACCATGCTGTTATTACTTCATTATTAAAACGGAAGAACCTGGTTGGTCGTACTGCTCAGTGGGCTTTGAAGCTTCAGATATATGATTTTGATGTTGTTCACCGCACAGGGAGTTCTATGGCTGATGCTGATGCCCTTTCTCGAGCTCCTCTTCCTTCTTCACTCTCTTCTCATGTTTCTGATGAGCCTGTCGTTCCAGCATCTGTGGATTTTCTAAACAAGGATTCTATGCCGTCGGCGGTTGCTGTACTTGACGTTCAGTGTCCACAAGGTGCAGAGCAAGATCTACCTTCGCTTGATGAGGTTCGCGAGGCTCAAAAGATTGAGCCATGGATTCGAAGGCTTCGAGATGGGTTTGAGAATCCTGCATCACTTGCTGATGATTTGCCTTTCCGGCATTTACATTCTCAATATCGTCTTGAAGATGGCCTTCTTTATTTTGTGGGGACAGATCCTGATAATCATTTACGGCTGGTGGTGCCTTCTATCTTTATTCCGCGGTTTCTCCATGCCTATCATGATTCTCCTATTCTAGGTGGGCATATGGGACATCATCGTGTAATCGAGAAGCTACGCAGGTCTTTCTATTAGCCAGAGATACAATGTGATATTATCTGGTATGTGCATAGCTGCGTTTGGTGCCAAGCTCGTAATACTCCCCCTCGGGCTGCAGAAGGACTGTTGGAGTCAATTGCAGTTTCCCGTCCGTTTGAGTTGGTGGCATTTGATCTTATGGGACCTTTTCCACAGTCGACTGCTGGTAATGAGTATGTTATTATTGCTTCTGACTACTTGACTCGTTGGGTGGAAGTTGGTGCTCTTGCTAGTGCCTCTGCAATTGCTGTTGGATACTTCCTCCTTAATCGAGTGGTGTTTCAGCATTTTTGTCTAGAGCGGATTCTTTCAGATAATGGTCCCGCATTTATGGCTGAGGCATTTCATGTTTTGACGTCTCGGTTGGGGATTTGCCACACTTTCATGAGTGCTTATAATCCACAATCAGACGGTCTGGTGGAACGGCTCGTTTGGACGTTCAAGGGGATGATTGCAAAGTATGTGAACTTTCAGCATTCAGATTGGGATGGTTATTTGCCATCTCTTCGGTATGCATATGTCACTGGGGTGTAGAGTTCTGTTGGTGCTTCACCATATAAACTCCTATATATTCATGATCCAATATTACCAACGGAGCTGGGTTTACCTTCACGATTGCCACGAGTTGCGGATGCTAGGTCATGGGATCAATATTTGACAAGCATTCTTCCACTTGTTCGAGCGGAGTCTACCGAACACTTAGGCTACGTACAAGTGGGATAACAACGGCATTACAACTCCCATCATCATCCACCTATAGAGTACAAAATGGATGATTTGGTGTTAGTCCGTTTTCCCCATCTTACGGTACGTGGTTTATCTAAGGGGCTCCTTGCACAGTGGAAAGGACCGTATCGAGTGTTGCAGTAAGTTGGACCACAAGTTTATGAGGTTCGGTATGACATCGAGCAAGCCGATCCTCCAGAGATTGTGCACGTGCAGCAGTTGAAACACTTCATATAAAGGGATCAAGAGCGGTTAATACCATCTACAGATCCACCGATGCCTCCTCCTGATGTTCCTCCAGATCCCGGCCTGTCTACAAGAGAACCCTGATGGTCTTCCATTATTCTGAGAGGAGGGGATGATGTGAGGGCCAAGTGTACGGCTACAATGCCGTATACTAATATTAACGTAGTGGGATTTTGGTAGCCGTCGGATTGGTTTTAATCCGGACCACTCGCTCCTGTATATAAGCTAGGGTTTTTAGGCTAATTGATATGCACATTTCTGTATTCCTTTTCCATATTCCAAACACTCACAATGGTAGAATAAATAAATTGCTACAAATGCTTGGATTGCTTAATAGTAGTTTTATTATTACTTATTAGTCTAATTGATCAAATAAAGTTTATAATAATAAACATGTTTGTAATTTATAAATACAAGATTAATCTTATTGCATATTAACCATTAGATAATAGAGTAAAAAAGTATACTAGAAATGGTTTAAGAAAGCTTATAAATTCTAAACATTTTTATAAATTATATATATAAAATTATAAATTAATAACAACTGTTAAATGGTAAAATATTCTATAATATTTAAGTATATTTTAAGTATATTTACTATCATCTTAATCCCCCTACAGGTTTGCTTAAGAAAACCAAAAAGAATGCATTAGAAAGTGTTTAAGAAAGTTTATAAATTATAAACATTTTTATAAATTATAAATGAATAACAACCTTTAAATGGTAAAATATCCTAGAATATTCAAGCATATTTTTAGATATATTCACTACAGTATAAGCAAACCAAAATTCATCATTTAAGCAAAACACTCATCTCTTAATAACAGTTTTAAGCGTTTAAACCACTTGAAGGAGGCATTCGGGCTAAAAGCGGCGAATGGTGACCCTTGCCTTGGCCTTGTCCTTGAGAGTCATGGCCCAGACAGCCTTTGGAGCAATCCCTTTGTTGTCGTCCTCCACAACTTCGTACCTCATATGTCCGGCAAACATGAAAGCCTCGTAAGCTTTCCCGTTGTCGTCCACCTTGACATCCACCGTGAGGTAGCCGGGAGGGATACTGTTGTCCTCGATGACTGGATACTCGAGCTCCACAGCGTCGTTGTAAAAGTCCTTTCGGTAGGACTTTTCATCGCCACGCCAGTGTCCATTGCTGTCGAAGACGCAGAAGGCAGAGATCCAGCCGGAGATGTATCGCGGGCCCGATCCTCCTCCAATCCGGTGGCAAATCCTGTTCCAAAAGTCCGTGTCAGCGTTACCTTTGCTGCTCTCCACGAACTGGGCGGTGATTTTCTTGAGCATGACACGCCACTTCTGGCACTCGCTCCCGTATTTCTCCAGCTCGTCCACCCTCCGATCGATTTCCTCCCAATCCTCGGTGGTTCCCAGGAGAGTCACGTATGGAATCCCGCAGCAGAGACGAAACCTGGGAGAAGATCACCCAAAAAAGTTCCCAGCTTTAAAGACAACGAGAAAATCAATGGGAAAAAATAAAACACGAACACCACACCAAACACGTAGAAAACCCATAAACTCAAGACACTCACCGAAACAAAGAACTTAAAACACAAATGCAAAGAGCAAACGAGAAAAATAAAAACCATGAAGAAAGCTTGCCTGTATTCGAAGTAGCTCTTGAAGGTGGCCATGAGAACCACACTGCCCACCACCACATCGTTCTTGGTCGTGGTCGAGAAGCTCGGCAAGATCCAGTCGCAAACCTTCTCGTCCTTGACAGTCTCCTTGAGCGCCACACTCATCTCCCTCGCCAGGAGCCCATAGTCGCCGCTGTGGAGCGCGGCCTGCTGGGACACAACCAGCTCCTTCTTTCCCTCGTGATCCACAAAGATGGATCGCAGCGCCTCCCCGTTGCCATTGACGAAGAATCCAAACTGGACAGCGATGGCGAGCCACACATCGTCGGGCCGGATCACCAGATTGTGATGGAAGCTGTAAGCTTTGATCGCAGCTGCCACAAACCCGTTCTTTTCCGGCAGAAACGCGGTCGCATCGACGCTTGTGCCCTGCAACACATCGTAGCAGCCTTCCTGCTCGAATTCCATGAATCGCTCCAGGAAATGGGCACTCCCCGCCGGAGATGGCTTCACCTCGGCCGGATCCTTCTTGGACACCCTAAATGACACCATTCTCTCCTCTCCCCCCTCGCTATTCTCTCTTCTCCTTCCTCGCTTGTCTTCGTACAAGTGGCCGTAGAAACCCCAAATCCCACAAATCTAGACCGTTAATATGAGAAATCCAAACCCGCACCGTTAGATAAAGATCTTTACAAGCCTTCGAATCCACACCGTTAAATCAGTAGAGATAAGCATAACAGTTTAAATATTAGCGGAAAGGCAACACTGAAGGAGATTGGCCTTCTTGAGCGTGTTCTTATGGCCCAGACGCTCTTTGGAGCATCATCATCCTGGGCAATCTCGTATCCCATATGTCCTGCAAACATGAAAGCCATTGTCGTTCATCTTGACATCCACAGTGAGGTGGCCATCAGGAGGGAAGCTCAGCAATATCGATCTTGCGGTGTTGCTTGCCCATTCACACAGGATCAGATCGAGCAAGAAGCATTTGCAACTCTCGTTGTGAACGTGGCTTTATGGCCATCAAGGCTCCAGGATTGGAGAGAGGAAGACTCAGTATCTTGACGCACTGGAGGTAAGTAGAGTTTTCTATTTTCCAAGATTTGTACATCATAGGCACGGGAAGTCGGGCTGTCTTTGGATAAAGGTTGAAGTCCTTGGGAAGGACAACTGTTGGGGACAAGAAACCGTCTCAAAGCGAGCTATTCTAATTTGCAAGGTGTGTTTCCGATTGCTATTTTCCATTCTCTGTCACGATTCTAACTTTTCTTTGTAGGTGCGGAAAAGGAGAAGCTGAACGAACGAATTGCCCAAATTGTCCAGTAGAGTCGCGGCTGTGACTGTATGCATCATTTTTTTGTTTGATTCACGCTGGTAGGAGAAACCGAGGTGAAAGAAGCTTCGTGAGTGGAGTACGCTCTAATGCAACAAAGGTAACATACCGGTTTTAACCATTTTATATTTTCATACATTGACACAGCTGCTTTTATAGACACAAGCACGTAGACGTGAGGCCAAAGACCTGTCCTCTAAAGTTCATGCAAGTGGTAAGAACATTGATGCTGTGGAGAAACTGTTGGAGATGAAACAGAGGCACTTGGCACTCTCCCATTCACTGAAGACCAAGGAAGATCAAGCTCAGGGCTGAGGATATCTAAGGCTGGAATCTCACCAACTTCTGGGTAAGAGATTCTTCAGCTTAGTCATAAATTAATTATTATTAATTCAATTTATAACAGACCTAAATAGTTAACATTGTTTAGTACTGGCTTTTTAAAGCCCTTATAGTTATTATAGAATACAAGCCCTTATATATATATATATATATATATATATATATATATATATATATATATATATATATATATATATATATATATATATATATATATATATATATATATATCTATGTGTGTGTGTGTGTGTGAGTGCTTGGAATATGGAAAGGGAATATAGAAATGTGCATCTCAATTAGCCTAAAAACCCTAGCTTATATACAGGAGCGAGTGGTCTGGATTGAAATTAATTCGACGGCTACCAAAATCCCACTACGTTAATATTAGTATACAGCATCGTAACCATACACTTGGCCCTCACATCATCCCCTCCTCTTGGAATAATGGAAGACCATCAGGGTTCTCTTGTAGCCGAGCCGGGATTTGGAGGAACATCAGGAGGAGGCATCGGTGGATTTGTAGATGGTATTAACCGCTCTTGATCCCTTTGTATGAAGCATTTCAACCGCTACACATGCACAACCTCTGGAGGATCGGCTTGCTGGACGTCATGCCAAACCTCATAAACTTGTGGTCCAACTTGCCACAACACTCGATACGGTCCTTTCCACTGTGCAAGGAGCCCCTTAGATAAACCATGTACCATAAGATGGGGAAAACGGACTAACACTAAATCATCCACTTTGTACTCTACAGGTGGATGATAATGGGAGTTGTAGCGTCATTGTTGTCCCACTTGTACGCAGCCTAAGTGTTCGGCAGATTCCGCCCGAACAAGTGGAAGAATGCTTGTCAAATATTGATCCCATGACCTAGCATCCGCAGCTCGTGGCAATCGCGAAGGTAAACCTAGCTCCATTGGTAATATTGAATCATGACTATATAGAAATTTCTATGGTGAAGCACCAATAGAACTCTACACCCCAGTGACATATGCATACCGAAGAGATGGCAAATAACCATCCTAATCCGAATGCTGAAAGTTCACATACTTTGCAATCATCCCCTTGAACGTCCAAACGAGCCATTCCACCAGACTGTCTGATTGTGGATGATAAGCACTTGTGAAAGTGTGGTGAATCCCCAACCAAGACGTCAAAACATGAAATGCCTCAGCCATAAATGCAGGACCATTATCCGAAAGAATCAGCTCTAGACAAGAATGTTGAAACACCACTCAATTGAGGAGGAAGTATCCAACAGCAGTTGCAAAGGTGCTAGCAAGAGCATGAACTTCCACCCAACGAGTCAAATAGTCAGAAGCAATAATAACATACTCATTGCCAATAGTTGACTGTAGAAAAGGTCCCATAAGATCAAACACCACCAACTCAAATGGATGGGAAACTGCAATTGACTCCAACCGTCCTTCCGCAGCCCGAGGGGGAGTATTACGAGCTTGGCACCAAACGCAGCTACGCACATACCGGATAATATCACGTCGCATTTCCGGCCAATAGAAAGACCTGCATAGCTTCTCGATTACACGATGATGTCCGATATGCCCACCTAGAACAGGAGAATCATGGTAGGCATGGAGAAACTGCGGAATAAAGATAGAAGGCACCACCAGCCATAAATGATCATCAGAATCTGTCCCCACAAAATAAAGAAGGCCACATTCAAGACGATATTGAGAATGTAAATGCCAGAAAGGCAAGTCATCAGCAAGTGATGCAGGATTCTCAAACCCATCTTGAAGCCTTTGAATCCATGGCTCAATCTTTTGAGCCTCGCAAACCTCATCAAGCGAAGGTAGATCTTGCTTTGCACCTTGTGGACACTGAACGTCAAGTACAACAACCGCCGACGGCACAAAATCCTCATCTAGAAAATCCACAGATGCTGGAACGATAGGCTTGTTAGAAACATGAGAAGAAAATGAAAAAGGAAGAGGAGCTCGAGAAAGGGCATCAGCATCAGCCATAAAACTCCCTAAGTAGTGAACAACATCAAAATCATATATCTAAAGCTTCAAAGCCCACCGAGCATTACGACCAACCAGGTTCTTTTGCTTTAATAACGAAATAACAGCAGCATGGTCACCTTCAAGTAACGTCCGAGAGCCATGTAGATATGCATGAAGTTTCTCGAAACCCCAAACTGCTACTAAACACTCCTTCTCTGTCGTGGAGTAGTTCATCTCCGCTGGTTGTAATGTACGGCTTATATATGTAATGGGATGGCGCTGACCAGGCACACTCGAGCTCTCTTGCATTAACACACCTCCAAGACCAATGTCAGAAGCATCCACGTGCAAAATAAAAGGTCGAGTGTAGTCAGGATATGCCAAAACCGGAGGAGTTGTCAATGACTCTTTGAGATCCCCGAACGCCCGCTCACAATCCAGAGACCAAATGAAAGATGACGTTGATGACTTCAGCAATGCTCGCAATGGTGTAGTGCGATCAGAAAGATGATCCACAAAACGCCCGAGATACTGCACCTTGCCCAAGAAGCGCTACACATCATTCACACACTTCGGAGTAGGGAATCCATTGAAAAGTTGCTGGAGCATTGTTCAAACCAAATGGCATCACCAAGAACTCATACAAACCAAATGGTGTAGGAAAAGTAGTCTTAGGAATATCTTCTTCGGCCATCGGTACTTGCCAGTACCCAGAAGCAAGATCTAGCTTGGTGAACCAACGACTTTGCCCCAAACGATCCAAGAGATCAGCAGTGTAAGGAAGAGGGTACACATCTGGGATCATTACATCATTTAACGGACAATAGTCAATGTAGAAACGAATACCCTCATCAGGCTTCGTCACAAGATGAGGTTCACATGCCTAAGGACTTCGCAACTTCCGAATAACACCCTTTTCTAACATCTCCTTGATGTTTACATGTAAAATCTTGATCTCCTTTGGTGACCGACGACGAACAGGAACCTTGATTGGACGAGCATCCCCGGTTGGAATCCAATGACGTGTGGCAATCTTGGCTCCAGACAATAGGTCAAATTCAAAGAGATCAGAATACTCCTTCATGAGTTAGCCAACCGCTACAACACAAAGATCGTCAAAGGGATTGGAAAAGGGAGGAGCAGAACAAGATGGAAACACAGGAGGAAATAGTGGGGGAACAAAAGTAATGGAAGCAGAGGTAGAAGTAGAGGGATGAAGAGGTACGAAAGTGAGAGGAATGGATGAAACATAAGGAAGTATGAAACAAGGGGGAGAAACCTCAAAGTCACACTTGGCATGATTGCATTGCAACTAATCCATACCAAGAATGAGGTCAAAAGCTTGACTCGGCACCACTTGCAACAACTACAACACAAGCTCGAGATTGCCCACACGCACAACCATGTCTGCCTCATCCCGTACACATGCATGTGTACGGCGGTTGCCATAAAGAATGAAAACTGGTTCTGCCGCACGACGCAAGTGTAGACGACAACGTGTGGCAACAGGTCGAGCAATAGAAGATAAACTCGAACCTGTATCAACCAACACGGAGAGAATAATAGGAGACCTCTTGTTATAAAGATGAGTTTGGAAAGTAAACACTGGATGAACTGGTGCCGAGTGAACCCCTTGATGATACTCCCGAAAGAAAGATGGAGGGGTCACTGACTTATTCACGCAAGGTCCTTCCGTTACTCGCGCGACTCCTCGTTTCTCGGATGCATTGTAGCGCACGTGGTTTTGACCCTTTATCCTATGGTGATTTACCATAGGATAACACCACGAAGTGGAACCTAAACCCTCTTGTGCCACATGACAGATGCCACGTGTCACATGCCACGTGTCCATGCCACGTGTCCACAGGAACCCGAGGTTCAGGGCCTTGGGCCACTGAACGAAGGAACGGTGCCAAACTCCCAAGCGTGACGCCAAGGAGTGATGGAACCG